CTCCAGCCCCCTACACCCCCTCCCTATCTCTGACACCTCCTCCAGCCTCCAATATCTCTGCGGTCTCTGATCCCGGCCTCTCAAGCTCCCCCTGATTCCCATCGCTCCACCTTTGGGGGCAATGACTTCAAATGCCTAAGGGGTCATTGAGATCCACAATTCCCAAAACATCTCCATCAGAATCGGGGCTGTAGGGGACAGTGAAGAAGGTTAGCTCAGAATACAACCCTGGGTGGCACAGTGGCACAGTGGTTAGCGCTGCTGCTTCACAGCACCAGGGACCTGGGTTTGATTCCACCCTTGGGCGACTGTCTGTGTGGAGTTTGCACATTCTCCCCGTGTCTGCGTGGATTTCCTCTGGGTGCTCTGGTTTCCTCCCACAGTCCAAAGATGTGCAGGTTAGGGTGGATTGGCCGTGCTAAATTACCCCGTAGTGCCCAGGGATGTGCGGGTTAGGGTGGGATTGGCCATGCTAAATTGTCCCGTAGGGATGTGTAGCTTAGGTGGGTTATAGGGAGATGGGTCTGGGTGGGATGGTCTGAGGTTTGGTGTGGACTTGTTGGGCCGAAGGGCCTGTTTCCACACTGTAGGGATTCTATGATTCATACAACGGGACCTTGATTGGAGGGGCAGATGGAGTTTAATTTAGACAAATGTGAGGTGCTGCATTTTGGGAAAGGCACATCAGGGCAGGACTTGTACACTTCATGGGAAGGTCCTGGGGAGTGTTGCTGAACAGAGAGACCTTGGGGGGCAGGTACATAGCTCCTTGAAAGTGGAGCCGCAGGTAGACAGGGCGGTGAAGAAGGGGTTTGGGACGCTTGCCTTTATTGGTCGGTGCGTTGAGTGTAGGAGTCGGGAGGGTCATGTTGCAGCTGTATTGGTGAGGCCGCTTTTGGAATACTGCGTTCAATCCCGGTCTCCCTGCTACAGGAAGGATGTTGTGAGACTTGAAAGGGTTCAGAAATATTTACAAGGCTGTTGGAGGGTTTGAGCGATAGGGAGAGGCTGAATAGACTGGGGCTATTTTCCCCAGAGCGTCGGAGGATGAGGGGGTGACCTTATAGAGGTTTATAAAATCATGAGGGGCATGGATAGGGTGAATAGCCGAGCTCTTTTCCCCCAGGGGTAGGGGAGTCCAAAACTAGAGGGGCATAGGTTTAAGGTGGGAGGGGAAAGGGACCTGAGGGGCAGCTTTTTCACGCAGAGGGTGGTGCGTGTATGGAACGAGCTGCCAGAGGAAGTGGGTGGGGGCTGGTACAGTTACAACATTTAAAAGGCATCTGGATGGGGACATGGATAGGAAGGGTTTAGAGGGATACGGGCCAAATGCTGGCAAATGGGAGTAGATTAATTTAGGATATCTGGGTTGGCACAGACGAGTTGAACTGAAGGGTCTGTTTCCATGCTGTACTTCTCTGCCTCTTTCTGTCTCGCTCTCTGGTCTCTCGCTCTCTATCTCTCTGTCTCTATCCCTCTCTGTCTCGCTCTCTTACTCTCTCACTCTCTCTCTATTTTTGTCTCTGTCTCGCTCTCTCTGTCTGTCTCTCTCTCCCCCCTGATCTGTATCTCTCTCTCTCTTTCTCTGTCTCCGTTTGTCTCTCTCTCTCCTTTTCTCTCTGTCGGTCTCCCTTTGACTCTCTCCCTCCGTCTCTCTCGCCCTCTCTCCCTCTCTCTGCCTGTCTCTCTCCCTCCCGTGATCTGTATCTCACTCTCACTTTCTCTCTTTCTCTGTCTCCGTTTGTCTCTCTCTCCATTTCTCCCTCTGTCACTCTCTCTCTCTCCCTATCTCCCTATCTCTCCCTCTCTCTCTCTCCTTCCTCTCCTTTAAGACTCTCCTTAAAAACTGGCCTCTCTGACTGAGCTCTGGAAACCCCCATCCTGCTTTCCCTGATATCTCCTGACCAGGCTCTCAGAGTCATTTTAAACCTGTTGCAAAAGGACACAAGTTGCACTGTAGCCAAGGCGCTATATAAATGAAGTTGTTGCCACATACCCCCTGACTTTGGCTCCACATGTCTCCACTGATTGGCCATTTCCGCAGGCCTCCGCCGGACGCTTGCGTTTGATTGGACAGTAAGGGGGTGGGAAGGTCCTCCGATTGGTTGTCGAGAGCAGCCTGTCTCTGGGTTTGAGGCTGGGATCTCCTGGGGTGCGATCAAGGCAGAGTTAGTCTGGGGAGCTTTACTGTGTATCTAACCCCGTGCTATCCCTGTCCTGGGAGTGTTTGATGGGGGGATACACACAATACACACACACACTCCCTCTCACACACACGCTCACACACTCACACACAGTACACACACAGACACACTCACACACAATACACACACTCACACACACACACACA